CCGCAGGGCTGCGCCCCGCGCGGGCGCCGCGAGCTCGCGGCACGCCAGGCGCGCCGCCGCCCCCGCCGCGATGGCGTCGGCCTGGCGCAGCGCCTCGTCGGCGGCGGCGCACGCGCGCTGCACGGCCTCGGCGCGCCGCACCACCCCAGAGGCGAGCGCGTCGCGGCTGGCGGCGCAGAGGTTGGCGGTGTGGCGGCTCATGGCCACAAACTGTTGGACGGCGTTGTACACGCTGCCGCTAACAAACCCCATGCACTTGGGGTCTGCGTTGTTCAGATCCGCCAGGTGCCCCTCCAGCCCGTCGGCGTGGAGCGTCGCGACCACAGTGGCGAGCAGGCCCAGGGCCTGCGCGTCGGAGGCGCACTGTGTGCGCAGCGTCGGGGCCTCGCGCGGGTGCCGCGGGCGCGGCGGCAGCCAGGCAGGCTCAGCGGCGGGCAGCGCCTTGCGCACCGCCAGCACCGCGGCCAGCTGCGCCTCGTCGCAGCCGGCGCCGGCGGCCATGGCATCGCCAAGCATGGCGGTGGCGGCACTGAGGCGCGCCAGCGAGGCCCGCTCGGCGCCCGGCAGCAGGCCGTTGGTGTGGTTGGCCCACTTGCGCTGGGCGTCAGCCTTGATCCTCAGGCTGCGGGCGGACAGGCTGTTGGCATCACACGCCAGATAGTTGATATTCGCCGCCCAGGTCTTGCCGTCACGGAGGGCCGCGGCGGGGACGAGGTCGGCCTTGCGCAGGGGGCCGTAGCGCGCCCACGAGGGCGGCGTGGGGGCGTCGGCGGAGGTGCTGTTGCTGATGCTGCTGAAGCTGGTGAGTATTTTGATGTTGCTGGGGTTGGTGGTGTTGCCGGCCGAGGAGACGTCGGTGGCAGTCGTCACGGGGTCGGCCTCACGGGCCTTGGGCGGCGACGTGGTCACGATGGCGACGCGCGCGCGCCTGGGGCGGCACGCCGGGACGACGGCGCGGAGGCGGTGTGCCTGCAGTAGGCCAGGATGGTGCGGGGTAGCGAGGGCGAGGGAGGAATTGGTGGGACCGATGCAAGTGGAGAGAGGGCGGCTGCTGCTGCTTGCTGCTGCTGCTGCGAGGTGAAGCGCTTTGCTGTGGCCCCTCGCTCGTGAGCTGCACTGCGGCCCACGAGATTGAAATGCCATCGGATCGTTTATGTTGGCACTTGAAGTGCAAGGCATTGACATACACACATTGCACTGCGTACCATCGCTGTTGGCGGGGCCGCGGCGCGCATGGTCAACGTGCAGGTGCCAAATGCAGCAGGCAGTCGCTGCATTGCTGCTGCACGCCTGTCCCCGCCGCACCTGCATGTGAGACTGCCCGAGGCAGCAGCTGGAGCTGGAGTTCATGATGCGATCTTCTCAAACCTTTCGCCAGAACGATCGATAAGAGCTTGAATGAGTGGAGGAAGGAGTCAAGCGTGATAACGGAAGACAAGAACGGCCACACGAAGGTCAAATATACATCAAATAATACGTTCTGTCCTCAATAAACCTCCCGGTGGTTCTCCACGGTCTTACCTGGTGCAGTGCGGTCGTCTACTAGCTCTAGATCGACGACCAAGTTGTCTGTACTGTAGAGCAAAACATTCAAGTATCCATGTAACCCCAATCCTGTACCATGAACGTGCATCACCTGAATTAACACTCCCAAGTGTGCACCCCTAGCGTGCGCATTCGCAGCAGCTGCTCACTGGTGAGACACTGGTCAGTGTCAGGTGCTGGCGAAGACGGTGCGATACGTGCTTGTCCTCAGACTGTGTATGCACATGCCACCACAAGCATGACTGATCAGGACTATGAGTCATTCAAGTGGCCATACCAGCTTGACCACCCCCGAGCGCACGGGTATGGCCCCAGCAACCACACATGGGCATAAGACGAGACCACCACACCGTCCGTGCAGCATTACACAACCGCACATGCCCAGCCTCGTTCGCCCGCTCTTCAGCGGGCTGCGGTATCAGAGTGCCAAGGGGTGAGTTGCCTCAGGACCAAAATGGATCAGAAAGCACGGACGCGCCAAAGTCGTGATACACCACCAGTTGCGACAGCACCTGCCACGCATCAACCCCCAGACTGCTGCAGCGCCACAGCTTGTGCCAATGGCAAGCCGCAGCAGCTTTGAGCACGCCCCACGCGGCAATGTGCATGATGCGCCGCCGCCGGTGTGGGATGTCACTTGCATCCTTGATAAGAAGTTTTTGGATTGGCACAGCGCACAACATTCACAAGAGATACGACCTCAGAAGGGCCAGACAAAACAAGAAAAACAGCCAGGCCGCAGCACACCAGCCCAGGAACCTCGTCACACACCTGTGCCGCTTCGCCCGCCTACTGCCTTTTCCATCATTTCCTACACCCCTTGCTGGCCGATGGGGGCACATGCGCAGCCCGCGCCACCTGGTGCGCGCGCCTGGCGCAGGGCCTGTATGCCACTCGGACTCATTCATAGAGCGCGCAGCGCCCCGAGCTTCTTGAAGATCCCTGTCGAGCTGACTAGCAACCGCTCCGCACCGCCGCCCTCGGGGGCGGCCTGCAGTATGGAGACGTCCACCTCAACAGAAGACTGCGCGTGAGAGTGAGTGCAAATGTGAGTTTGTGGGCCTGTGTGTGTGTGCGTGCGTGTGTGCGGCGCGTGCATGTGTGTGTGTGTGTGTGCGTGTGTGTGCGTGCGTGTGTGTCAGTAAGTGTTTTCAAGAGAGTGCATACATCTACGTACGTGTGTGTAGGCGGGGGGGTCGAAGGGTGGGTGTTGGAACCATGTGTATGTGTCGCGGCAGGCTTGGCAATGCAACCTGTGGTGAGCGAAAAGCACTAAGTAGGAGCACCGTGCGCACAACCACCATCCTGTGACCAAGTGGCGGTCACCCTGCATTGCATCAAAACGCGCTCCCCTCCTTCAAGTACAGCGGCCGCGCACACTCCATGCTCGGCTGCACAGGAACCCGGCTCCATGCGGCTCGACCCGTGCTGCACAGCCCTCTCACAGCCCCGCACCTTGCCTATCCCCGGCTGGCTGCCCTCCTTTATCTCCACCACGCTGCTGCGCACCACCAGCGGCACGCCCGGGGGCGCAGGCTCCTTGTAGGACACCAGGATGGAGGCCGTCAGCGTCAGCGGCGGCTGCGACAGGCCGCCGCGGTCCATGAGAGCTATGGCGGCTGTCCAATTCCTGCGACGAGGAGCGCGTTGTGGTGAGGGTGAGAA